ATCGAGTCCCACATCGGGCTCCCTGCTCTGCAGGAGGCCTCCTTCTCCCTCTCCCACTCCTCCCGTTTGTGTTCCTGCTCTCGCTGTGTCTCTCTCTGTCAAATAAATAAATAAAATCTTTAAAATAAATAAATAAACAAACATAAGATCATACATAAGTACCTTTCTAGTAATATTCCATCACTTTGGGGGTTTTTTGAAAATACAAGATCTCAGAGTGCCAGGCTCTGTTCAACATTCGAGGAAAAGCAAGCCAGTGGAATCTGCATTTTTGAGGCTCTATACCCAGAGAGAAGTAATTATATCCACACAGAACAGTTAAAAAGATTTTTTAACTATTTCAAAAAACTAACCATGTTTCTGTTTCTTTCTGGCTCAAGACAGCTCACTGCTTTCTGACTGATCAAGGTGCAGCGAAATTTGCAGCAGTCATGGGGGTCCCCACGATTCCTAAAGAGCAGCTGGTGACAGAAAGAAACATAAAACGTCTGGAAAAAGAGAAGCATGAGAAAGGTGCTCTGAAGTTAGACTGTCAACAGTAAGTGTCTTCTGTGGCTCGCAGTTTGGGGACTTACTCAGGCGTGGAAGTGTGACAAATATCTGATTACCTACATTTCTTAAATAAGTCAAGAATCACTTGGTAGTTTCCATTTTTGTACAAAATAATTGACACTACATCATGGAAAAACTGCTCTTTTGATTCTTACATTTAGCCTCATTTATTACTCCTATAATAACAACTCAGATTTGGCCAAGAGTTCCTTCTCCAATCACAGAGTGCCTTGTGTTAGTGGATTAACTGTCGGATGTCTCTTGATCAGTTTGTTATCTTAAAAGCAGACAAAACAGGTTGTCTGTGACCTAGTGAACCCTCTCAAGTTACTTGAGCCTGCTGTCCTAGTACAGAGGAATCAGAACAGTTCTTATAAGTTTGAATTAATCATTTGTTCTGAATTACGATTTTCTGTGTTACAGAGTTCAAAATCCCAAAGAAAAGCCCCCTTATTCAAAGCAAAATTTGAAAAATAGAATTTAGATATGGCCTGGGAGTGTATAATGGAATATAATCTATTAACTCTGCGTACTCTTTAAGATTTGTCATTTTTAACCAGCAGTATACTTTAATATCACCTAGGGAGCTTTTTCAAACTATTGTCTGGTCCTCTTCTTAAATAATCTAATTTAATAGATTTAATTTAATAATTTAATCTAATTTAATAGATCTGAGGTGAAGAGGCCAGGCAGGTGTATCAGGAAAAAGTTGCCCAGGTAATTCTGATGTGTCCCCAGCTTAAGAATCTGTTTCACAAAATTGGCCATGTACTGGTACTTTTGATAACCTTACCAAGTGTGTACCATGTACTTCTGATAACCTTACCAAGTGTGCTATTGTACCTGTAGGCTAGAGTCACCAGAATGGGGCTGCTTTATCGATGGTTCTTGGGTCTTTTAACAGATGTTGTCACATCGCTTTCCAAAAATTCTGCAACAGCACACATCTCTACCAGCCAGTATTACCCTTAGATATAAGCGAGAGGGGCTCCGCCCTGGGTCCTGCACTTTAGAGGACCCCCCATATCACAAACACACAAAACAGTTGGCTTATTACAGACACCTGGGGCACCTCTGTCACTCAGCAGTGGCATAGTATGACCCATAACCCTCATCATCCACTCTTGTGATTAACACCATTCAGCCCCCAGGGAAATGCTTCTCTGCATCTCTTGCTCTATGTCTTGGAAGCGAAGGCCACCTAAATCTAAAGATTTGTGGATTGTGCTACTGCTGATACCGGAAATGGACACTGCTTCGGAGTGGGGGGAAGAATTGAACAGCAGAAGGACTTAGGTAAGAGACAAAGACAAATTAATTACTTGTCGAATAAATTCTTACGTAACAAAGTAGTTGTTTCCCAGTAGTGCCAAGTATCCATTTTCTTGCCTCCTTACATGTTCTGTGCTGTGGTTCCGGCGGGATTCATGGATTAGTACAATATCTGCAAGACTTGCCCATGAGGACTGATGCCCATTAGTCTTAAAAGTGTATATATGTAGGTCTAGACCAGCACTGTCCAACAGAAAGACAAGAGCTGCATATGGATTTAAAATTTTCTAGTAGCCACATTAAAAAAGTAAAAAGAGACAGGTAGGGGTGCCTGGGTGGCTCAGTCGGTTAAGCGTCTGACTCTTGATTTTGGCTCAGGTCATGATCTCATGCTCATGAGATCGAGGCCCACGTCAGGCTCCATGCTCAGTGCAGAGTCCGCTTGAGATTCTCTCCCTCTGCCCCTCCCCACCCCCACTCACACACTGTCTCTCTCTCTCTCTCAAAAAAAAAAAAAATATATACACACACATGTGAAATTAATATATTTCACCCAATACATCTAAAATTTTATCACTTCAGCAGGTAATCAATATAAGAAATTACTTGAGATATTTTACATTCTTGTTTCACACTAAATCTTCAAACTCTGACCCATATGCTATGCTTGTAGCTTACCTCCACCGCCCCCCCAGGGGGGTTGCCCACGCTTCCTGTGGCCAGTGGTGCAGGTAGCTCATGTCCGCCATACTGGACAGTGTGGGTCTAGACAGAACCTGCGTGAAGAACCAGCTCTTTATGTTGGCAACTAAATGGACACTGAATGTTAGTTAGGAATGGTTTTGTTTGTTAAGATATGTTGAAATTTTTAGCTTTTAAGGAATTTTATTTTAAGATGTTATATTCACTAATTATAATTCATGTTTTGACTTTAATATTAATAGATAATTTGGTATATTTTAGGAAAACACTTAACTTTTCAAAGTTATATCTGTAACTCATTTATATTTATTCAGTTATATTTGCTCTTCATTTTTTTATGAAAATATATCCTAATTTTGTGCACTTTCAAGACGATTACATCTTTTTAATCCCTAGATTATTGAAAATGCATGTTAAGTCAAGATTTTGATAGAAAAAGAATACAAAAGTGGAGCTCACAAAAGAAGACAGAAAGCTGAGAGGAAAAAAGAAGGAAAATAATCTTCCAGGACATAGCCTACGCACATTTTAGAAAACAAAACAGTAAAGTAAGCAGTCTTCTTCCAGGAAGATCCACCTAACGTTCACAAGCAGGACATTCCAAATTCTTGGTCCAATGAAGATTTAATTACCTGTCAGAACAGTGAAAATTAGTAAGAATATTATTCTTGCCACAACCTCAGTTTGAACAGTTCCAATGAAATCCCCGCGATTTCCCGTTCTTTACTACAGGAAGAGTTAATTGCTCATCACGAAGAATCACACACCAAAAGGACACGTGCAGTCGGTAGGACTGGGGGAACAGGCAGTTGATAACAGCGGAAAAAGAAAAAGATGATATGAAACAGGGATGTAATGTTCTTGAAAGAATAATACAGTGTGTCCGGTATTTAGCCAGGCCTAATGAGGCTTTTCATGGCACTCCATCATCAGCACCATGTTTACAAAACACAGTGGGACATTTCTAGGCTTAATAAAAATTATTTCAAAATTCAATAATATATGTAATTAAGACAAAAATAATGAAACTAATAATCACTATCTAGCATAGAGAATTTAGACAGATTAATTTAGTGGGTAATAAGCAAGAGATGAAATCAAATACATAAAATGTTTTTAACAAAATACTCAGTTCAACTAGAAGGTACCATGGTCAGAAGACATGTCAAGCAACTAACATTTATTATATGTATGGCTGTACTACCCTGAGAAGAAAAACAAAGTCTGACTCACCTGCTTTTTGAAGTAAGTGTTTTGGATTTAGAGAAGTGGGGACAACTTTTCATCTTAGGCATGAATTTAAAAGACTGTCGAAGGCAATGAGGCACCTGGGTAGCTCAGTCAGTTAAGCGACCAACTCTTGATTTTGACTCAGGTCATGATCTCAGGGCTGTGAGATCAAGCCCCTTGTCAGGCTCCATGCTCAGTGCAGAATCTGCTTGAGATTCTCTCTCTCTGCCCCTCCCCCTACCCTGCTTGCACACGCACACTTTCTCTTTCTCTAAAATAAAGCTAAAAAAAATAAAATAAAAGACTGTCAAAGGCAAGCCTGTGATAATGGAGTGAACGTGGTTGGTACATAGAAGATATATAAGCATGAAGTTTGGCCAAGAGTCCAAAAGTATTCCATTTGACACAGTTTGAATCTGTTTCTAGGAGCTGTGCCCCCACTGTGTGGCTGTAGAGGGTCCAATGGGGGATTCTCGAGATAGGCCCAAAATGGAACAGCGTGTTCAAACTCCTGTCTGACCTTAGAACAAATCTCAGACAGATGGTGGGAATGACCAACTCAGTGCTATTAAAGTAATTACATTGAATTTAGATAAAGAATTCCATGAAACCACAGAAGATTCTCAAAGAGTAAATTATGGACGTTGACAGACAGTGAAATTAATTTTGAATTGATGCTATCTACAGTCCCTTAGTGTGAACTGTTAATTTCTATTGATAAGCTTAGTAAAAGCTTTAAAAAAATATTTTTGGCTATTTCACTTTTAAAAGGATTGAAAATATATTAAGTTTAGAGAAACAAAATCATACTGCATGTGAAATGTGCAAGAAGAATAACATTTCAGGGCCATGAGATTTGAGCCCCACGTGGGGTTCCACACTGGGTGTGGAGCCTACTTGGCATTCTCCCTCTCCCTCTGTCCCTCCCCCCCGCTTGCGCTCTCTTGCACTCTCTCTCTCAAAGAAAGAAAGAAAGAAAGAAAAGAAGGAAGGAAGAAAGAAAAGAAAATTCCAGTAAAATAAAAGGAACCTGAAAGAAGGCAACAAAAATTCTTGCCTAACTTGAAGGAGAAGATTCATGTACAAATAATCCCCAGATCAGCTCCCGTAGAGGCTGTCTTTCTGTCATATATCAGAGCATAGTGCCATTTGAAGAGAGACTTGCAGAAAATCAAACAACACAACCGCTACTTTCAGTCTTCTTTGTAATACGCCAGCCGTGAAATGTGAAAGAGCTGAAGATACTCTGCTGGATCTGGGTGCTGCTGAAGAGATGGTGTAAATGACTACAGGGAGCGATCGTGACTTGTATGATCGAGTTAAAGCATGTAATAGTGTCTTCCGTTACAAAAATGTATCCCGCTGTGCCGGTAGCATCTGAGTGTGGTAATGTTCAAATCAGGAGTTCTTTCCAAATCTAAGGATTGCCTTAAGAAATCTGTTGAACATTCCAGTTGCTGCTGCCTCAGCAGAGGGAAGCTTCTCCAAATTAAAATTAATAAAAAACCTGCTAAGAACTACACGGACTCAAAAAGATCTGTCTTATGTGGCAGTTTGTCAAGAGAACACATGTTGTATGGACAGACGATTAAAAGAGCATACTGCTTCCTGAGATGAAAGCAGGAAAATCAACCTTGTGGAGTAAACACTTAATAATTTATAAGGTGGGTGGGTGGGTGGGTGTGTGTGTGTGTGTGTGTTTGTTTCCAGCCATCAATAGCTGATCCACAAAGGACCCAGATGGGCACAATAATAATTACATTAAGTTGTCATTGGTAGTTTGTCCACTTTCGGGCATGTAAAAACCATGACTTTACAATATTTATTTAAAGACATATTCACCACTCTAAGAGAAAAGAACGTATCTACAGCTTCTCAAAAGTAAATAGATGGCGTATGGGCCTTCATTTATATTTGCAGCTTGCCTCCACGCCTTACGAGTGTTGGGGGTGGGCCTGCCACCAGCAGAGCCTGGGAGTGCCTGCCCTCATCTGACGTGAGGAGGGAAAGGCTGTCACTCTAAGTTGTATTCCCTGGCTGTCAACAAGTTTGAGCATTTGGCATTTGTTGGTGGGCCATTTGTTTCTATGAATTTGCCTATTTTTGTCCTATGATCATTTTTTCTCTTTCATTGTTATGTCCCTTCTTCTCAGTCTTAAGGCTGTCTGCTCTGTTTAAAAGAAAAAAATCCCAAATCTGTTGTTTTTAGTCTTGCTTTTACTTTGCTTATGGTATTTTTGCCATACACAGGTCTTTACTTTTTTATAATCAAATACTCAGTCTACCTCTCTTGTATAGCTTGTAGGACTAGAAACGTAGAAGGTACTCCCCACCCTGAGACATCTGTAGTCACCTAGATTTTCCTGAAGAATTTTGTTTTATGTTTTATATTCAGGCCTTGAACTCTCTGGAGTTGATTTTTTTTTTTTAAGATTTTATTTATTTATTTGATGTAGACCGACACAGTGAGAGAGAGAACACAAGCACGGGGAGTGGGAGAGGGAGAAGCAGGCTTCCCGCGGAGCAGGGAGCCCCATGCGGGGCTCGATCCCAGGACCCTGGGATCATGACCTGAGCCGAAGACAGACGCCTAACGACTGAGCCACCCAGGCGCCCCTCTGGAGTTGATTTTTGTGAATGCTGGAAGATAGGGTTTTCTGCCAAACAGAATGCCAAATTTCTCTTTCTAGCCCCCCTGAATGCCGGCCCATATCTAGCTGCAATTTGCTCTCTCCATGTGATGCCCAACAGGTACCTCAAGCTTGTGTCCAAAACGGAACCCCGGATTTCCCCACCAGCCTTGCTCCACACCCACCAACAAAACCAAAAAACAACAAAAAACCTATTCCTGGGTGGCTCAGTCGTTAAGCGTCTGCCTTCGGCTCAGGTCATGATCTCAGGGTCCTGGGATCGAGCCCCACATCAGGCTCCCTGCTTGTCCAGAAGCCTGCTTCTCCCTCTCCCACTCCCCCTGCTTGTGTTCCCTCTCACGCTGTCTCTCTCTCTCTGAAATAAATAAATAAAATCTTAAAAAAAAAAAAACCTATTCCTAATAGTCTACATTTCAATGAATGGTTCCTGTACCTTTTCCATTCTGGAAACCAAAGCCTTAGAGCCGCCCATAATCTCTCTCACACCCAGCTCCCCTACAGTCTGTCAGCTCTGCTTTCAGAATGTCCCAAGCCGAGGCCACTTCTTTCCGTCCCAGGAGCACCCTAACGGAGGCCAGCGATTCTTCAAGCCTCCTGACCAGTCTCTAGTTCTACTCTTGTCTCCCTCAGTCAACACACATTTGCCAGAATGATTATTCTAAGAGAAACTTTTTGTACACGTATGGCATACATACAGGAGTGCACAAGTCTTATGTTGCCTCTGATGAATTTTCACAGAGTGGACCCATATAACCAGCCCCCAGGTGGGGAAATCGCTCATCGCCCGATGCTCCCCACCATGCTCCCTTCCATTCCCAGCCCTGCCATAAAGGCAACCACTTACCTGGCTTCTAACACTGTAGACGACTATTGCCAGTTTTCGAACTTTATTTAAGTGGAAACATAGTATGTGCTTGATTTGGTGCCTTCTTCCCTCATTATATTTCTGAGATCCGTCCATGTGCCGCGTACCGCGGTAGCTCATTTTCACGGCAATAGACGATTCTGTTCCATGACTGTATCTCAGTCCACCTACTCTGCCTTTGGTGGACATTTATGTCACTTTGTTTTCTGTTATTACAAACAGTCCTGCTGTGAACATTTTGGTATATGTTTTTTGGTGAACGTAGCTCCGCATTCCTGTTGGAAGAATGCAGAAATGTAGGAGTGTGACTGCCAAGTCAGCGTTGGTAGATTCTGCCAGATGGTTTTCCAAAGGAATACCGAGTCATCTTCATTTTAGCCATCCTGGCGGATGGGTGTAGGGTAAGAATGATATTTTTAAAACAACTCATCTAGTGACACATCTTGGCTCAGGTTCTGCAGTGTCTTCCCATCTCACTCAGGACCTATACATCAGAGGACCATATGATTTAGTGTTCAAATCAGAACTTGACTTTGAGAGTGAAAGGGGAACTGTTACATGGGGATAAATCAGGACTGTCCTGGGTCACCAGGGTGTACAGCACCCCCACCCGTCAGAGCCTCCATGGTCTGGCTGCTGGCCGTCCCCTGACCCCCCACCCTCTCTCCCTTGCTTTATCCTCTGCAACCACAGTGACCTCCAAATTCCATGAGCTTCACAGCCATGTTCCAGCTTCCCAGCAAACTGTGCGGGCTGCCCTCACCTTCAGAGAGGCCCCGTATAAAGCCCTCTCCATGCTGCTGGAGTCACCATTTTTACTGTTGTTCCGTAAAACAAATTTTTATCGCTCTGTTGCCCTCTGCCCCCACATGCAAGCTGCACAGAAGGGACTTTGTCCGTTCACTGCTGTGCCCGGCACTTACCATGTGCCTCAAATATAGTTCATCATAGAATCTGGGTGGTGGGTATTATAGCTGTTGTACAATTTCTTCCAGTTCTTTTACTTGAAAATATATGTTAGGGAAAACAATAGCTTATTTCATCTTTGCAGAAAGCCCCGGGAAACAGGCAAAGTGGGGTGTGACAGGCAGCATTGGCATCACCTGGGAGGTTGTGAGAAATGCAGGGTCTTGGGTCCCACCCTGTACCCACCAACTCAGGATCTCTGGGGTGGGCCCGGGGATCCAAGGGATTTGTATGCACACAACGTTTGAAATGCACTCAGTCATTTTTATCCCCGTTTTATAGGTGGGGAGAATGAGACACGGAGAAGAAAACTTTTAAGTCCCACAGCTAGAGGACAGTGGTACTGGGATGGGATGTGCTCTTAAAGCTGAGGTCTAAAGGAACGTCTAGCAATCTGTCTGACCTGCAGAATAAAAAGCTAATGTGAGGCGTGAGTGTTAGAAGGGGAGCGTGTCCCATTTGCCATTAGCATCTAACGCGGGGATTTAAGTGCTGTTCAGCTACGACGTTACTTGTGACAGTGTCTCTCGTCTCAGTCTGTCACTTTTCTCTTTATTCTTGGCAGAGACTTGGGAACCGTGGGTGCCGTTGCCTTGGACTGCAAAGGAAACGTAGCCTATGCAACCTCGACGGGCGGCATCGTTAATAAAATGGTCGGCCGCGTTGGGGACACCCCGTGCATAGGTAGGCCCCATGGCTGGCTGCTGCCCCGCCCCTTCCGCTGCCATGCACCTGTTGCCCTCTCCTCTTCACTCCCCGCCTCTTCCGGCC